GAAAAAAATTTTTAACTCATTTGATTTTTATCGCATTTAGATTTTAAAGCTTCAATAAACATCCTCCCATTACTGTAGTCTTCTCTCGTGAGAAGAAATTCATATTAATATTATTTTACTATGTGGTTTATTTTTGTAGCTATCATTTATTTTCTTTGCTCTCACTTAACCTACTTTTTTGACNTGGCTACCATATTAAAAATATGCTATTTTAACAAATTCTTTTTTTTTAATTAAACACTATCTACAGATTTGCATCGAAGCGTTTTTTATGATAGTGATTTTAATCACTGTCAGATATCATCTATATTGGACCCAACTATGCCACGACCCTACTATGCCTCAACCCCACTGTGGTGGGTTTTTTATATCTATCGCCACTATTTTTCAGCTCATCAGACCAATTTCATTCAACGATACATCAAAAGATCACAAATCGTATATAGTCGAAGAAATTATCTTTAACATTTGAAAAACTTTCCTTCGTTCCCCGTAAATGGGGTAAATCTCCAAAAAAATTTCAAATTTAAAAATCGCCAATTTTCGAAATTTTTTTACTTAAAACGTGCCCACGGAGGGAGATTCAAAATGAAAACTTTTTCAANGTGGACTGTATGTGAGCGTTGATGACGACGTGAACGATGCTACTAACCCGTAATATGCGAGAAGGATTGTTTTTCACGGATATACAGTACAAAACATGTACACATAAAAACCTCGTACGTCTGGAGTTTACAAATTCTGCCGAGTCGCAACCGTATGAGCATAAACAATAAAGATATGGCGAACTATGGCCGATCAATAGCACANGAGTTTTGACGGTTATCAATCATTGGTGGAATTGAGTCATCTCATGTGTCTACCCAGAGTGTTATGGTGGCTATACATATGAACCTCCAACCTAATTTCTGAAATAGACACGTATCAACGATATAACTCTGCTAAGTAACTCTGTACAAACATTATCGATTTATTAAATTTGCTTGGTATATTTTGTGTTATTGTTAATCACTTGATTTTTCTCTGTGCCTACTTAATCTATGTACTCATGAAATTTAATTCTAAACCTTATATATTTTTTGTGAAATTATTAGTATCCCCCCACCTTGATATATCCAATAATACTCTGAAATAAGTAGATGTATTCTTATGCAGTTATAGCGTAGACACGGCAAATCACTTCTTGCATATACTTCTATAGGATACAAAGTGTAAAATGGGCTAATCGTAATTGAACGTGCTGATAAACTCTGAGAATAACTAACCGCGTCTGAGCGCCACTAACCGAGTGAGAGCATTTTGACCACCATCAGAGTGACATCTTAGACAGAATGCTCATAATTTTGGGCTTTTTATATTAAGTTTGATGGTATTTTCAAAGGCAAGAAGTGATCACCGACGCTACCTTTATTTCTTTATAATTTTATAATTTATTACATGTTATTTATTACATTTTTGTCAATAATGATCTACATTTCATAATGTTTTACAGTTTGTTTTATAAAATCTTACACATTATTTATTACCTTATGTATAACACATTATTATTACATATTGTTTATTATTTCGTGTTTCTTTTATATAATTAATACATGCTTTTTCTACGAAATTTCATTAGTATATTCAAACATTTAAAAGGTATATATGTATATATATCTTATTTAAATTGTTATACATATCATTTTGCGTGATTGATTAATTGAAGACTTAAATAATACATTATGACATTAATGATATACTGTGTATATCATGACATCTATATGTTTATTTTATTTTCATGGTGAAATTGAACATCGAAGCTAAGAAAAAAAATATGATATCACTGTAGTCTCCCCTCGTTTGAAGAAAAATTTTATTCATATTAAAATTATTTTATTGTATGATTTTTTTTTTGGCTCACACTTATTTTCTCAGCTCTCACTTGACTAAGTTTTTTTAACGATACATCAAATTATCACATCTATAATTCAGTTAATGAAATTACTCTCAAATATTGAAAATATTTCCATTTTATCGATTATAAGGTTATTTAACTTTTTGAAAAATGTATGGATCAACACAATTTTTTTATGAGATACTTATTATTTATGACATACTTTATCATAATCAGGATATTAATAAGGAACTAGCAGATCATGTAGCTTTTGGAATAATCCACCAATTTTTTAAAATTAAACACTATCTAGAGTTTTGTATCGAAGCTTTTTTTTTTTTTTTGATAGTGACTTTTACAATTATAATAACATCCCTACAATAGCAAGCATTTTATGACCACATATGTCGAAGCCTTAATAATAATAAAAAAAAAAAATAAATAAATAAAATTTTATAACACGCTTAATTGAGTAGATATTTTAACAAAATTTTGATTATTTTTTTTAGATAAAGTAAATCTTATAAAATTAAAATTTATTATGTTTTGAATATTTCAAATGTAGAACCTTTTTAAATACCGAAAGTTCCTTAGGAATGATTACTTTGATTTCTACTTAAACGATCTATTAAAATAAAAATATAAAAAAAATATTAAGCTTTTCTGATAAATTTAACCCGTAAGTGGTACGATGAAAAAAAATCAAACTAATGGTATGGTGCGGTCTCCTGGACCTCTTAATTTTTTATGTAATATTTAGACTACATTTCTTTTATTCCATCACATTTTTGGTAGAACAATATCTTAGTAGTATTAAATGAGATATGACAAATTTTTTTTCGACTTTAATTTAAATCATGTAAAGTAACTACTAAATTTTTCAGGAAGTTTTATGATCTGCCATGCAATAATGTACTTGATTTCCGTTATGTCCTGAAGCATTTTAAAATACATTTTTTACTCCACAACTATTAAAATATGAAACTAGACATAAATTAAAATAGAATAAAAAAAAAAAAATTTTATAATTACAATTTTTTTTAAAAAAATAACAGTAGTCAAAACAACACTTTTAGGATTTATAAATTGCCATCAAAATTTAAACAAAACATTTTTTCTTTTTTAAATTATCCCTTTCAACTTTTATAAAAAAAAATATTATTATTCCGTGAACATAATGTAAGAACATTTATTACTATGTTCTTACCACTTATATTACACACGTTTTATTTCTATTTATTTCATTCGTAATACATATTAATTAGCATAGAGGGAGATGCTGATATGACAATTCTACTAGTCTGTAGCCCGGAGCTACTGACATCGAACTAACAAAAGGCAGTTGTGTTTGAGTGGCCGTTATAGACATAGTTTTCAATACTATTACTTTCGTCTTATTTATATTATTTATAACTTAACTTGTTTTATTCAACGATCCGTCTATCGCCAATTGTCATCATAGCCAACCAACTCCGTCTCACTTGGATATACCTACTATCTAACTGTACTAGGATTCAGGTCAGACGTATTGTACATTACATATAACTTATATTTACTGAACATCTAAAATATAACTTAACTATGTCGTTGACATAAAACAATAGTCTAATTTTATTTAATAATCTATCCCCTGTAACTAAGGTACACGATTGCCTGTGTCTCCTTCAGGCAATTAAAACTCATTTAAAGAGATAGGGACGATATTTGAGCAGACGTCGGGTAGCTTCCGATTCTTGGTTTTGACCAAGATCCTCAACTATTAAACTAGCCCCTAACAATAACATCAATATCTTATCAGCTAAATAAAAATAAAAATTGCAGCGGTCTATCAGACCGCACCAAACCACTTACGGGTTAAAGTAAATAATAATTATACAATTTCCAATTATATATATTAATTATAACATGCCAATTTTTTAATTCTCATAAAATGTTCAATTTAATAATTTAAATTTCAAATTTGCAAGTTGAGTTAAAAGTCTTAGTTACAAATTCAACTTTTTTTTATTGAAACCTTTCAAAAAATCATCTTTAAATTAACAAAAAATTAGTTTAAAAATGATATTTTATACTGATTATTTTTAACATAAATAAATCAAAATCTGTAATAATTTAAAAACAATTTTTTTGTTCATTAATATATTTTTTTTATCGTAATAAATCATTTCAAAAGAATTATTAATCACTTCTATGTAACTCTTGGTGTTGAAATAGATGATACAATTGAAACATTTAGAATTATTTTCCTTAGAGTTATATCCTATAATTTTTAAATAATTAGTAATAAAATAAATAATTATTGGTGATAGAAAAAATATGATTGCTTATTTGAAATTAGCACGAAAAATTGAAATATAAAAGTATATTTTCGCTCTTATGAAAATTTTTAGCAAACCATTTTTTGATAACTGACAAGATATTATTATCTAAAAAGTTTTGTGTTAAACTCTTTAATTTTCATACACGTATGCCACAAAGTAATAACTACTTTATAATTTTTTATACATTTTCCAAATAAATTACAATACTAAATTAAGAAACATCAATATAATACTAATTCAATTGCTACAATAAATACTTATTCATATATTATTCTTTTAAAATAAAAAACTACAAATCAGGAATAGTAAAGGAAAATATGATTTCATATTGCTTTTGGTATAATCCACCAATTTCTTAAATTTAAACACTATCTATATATTTATTGAGAGATTGACAGCAATATTTTTTAAAATATCCTCTAGCCTGGTGTATTGACAAATATTTTTATATCTACATACGAATTTTATCAATGTGGTTTTTTTTTTATTAACACCACTATTTTTTCTAACAATTTGATATTGAATATGTAAGTATATTTAGAATATGATTTCAAAAAAAATTTTTGTACGAGATTTTTTTATTATACACTATTTATGGGATAATTGAATTTTATTGAAATTACATAAAAAAAAGTACACGTCTATTTTAAAATAAATTATTTATAACAGTATATATTAGGTCTCATCAAATTAAATAGTTTAGTATAGTAAATAACTATAAAAAATTATTGAAAAATATAATACAATAAAGCTCTATATTTTATTTAAACATATTTTTAATGACGTAGAAAAAAGATTTATATTCTTTATACAAATTTATTATTAAATAAGTGATATTAAATAATTAAGAAGACATTTACTTATGTTCATTATAAATCTACCTAACATTTTAACAAGAAATTTTTCATATAAGATTTTATTACAATGAAATTTTTTTCGTTTATTTTAATATTTATTGTAATTTTCCTCTTGCAACCAGAAAAAGGAGTTCATTGTGAAAATTATCATGATATGTATGAAAATTATATCGAAAGGGTGGTGAGTCACATTTATTTAAAAATTATATTGTACCAAAATCAAGATTCAAAGAATGCTACTGGTAGAGAGGAAGATCTTCAAACAAACACTATCATGTTAAATTTAAGACAAAAATATTGTTATACAATAGGTATACTCAATTTCAAGTACATTGAAATACTACAAAAATACTTTGATATAATAAAACTTATGCTTAATATGTGTCTGAAATATCATAAAAATAATGAATTGAATTATTTCAGCTCCTGTGTAGAAACGCTTGAAAAAGTTCTAAAAATTTCCAAAACTATGTTTAAAAAACTACACAATGCTATGAAGTTTATAAGTTACTTAGATATAAGATTATTGTTTACAGAAGGCTTTATACCGCATCCTATAATTGATGTAATCGACTTTATATATCAGTATGTCTTAGAAAAAAGTCAGGATACCAGCTCTTTAGATCTCAACAAATCACCTTATGAAATCTCTGTAATTAAACTTGAGAATTTGACAAAATTTCAATTTGATGCATCAAAAAGAATAGGCAAATTTGTTGAAAATAATAAATTTATGTTTATTTATATATTAACTGATATGTCAAAAATTAAAATTGCGGAATTACCTAATGATTTAAATTTTGTAAGAATAGAAATAATTAATAAGTTTTTCAACGAAATTATAGAAGTTTGGTACAAAAACCTAGGATTTGAAGAATTTATCAAACCTAAATCAGCAGAGTAAGAATTCTATTATTTAATATTAATTTTTAAAACATATTATAGGTAGTATTTCAAAAGGCTTTTTAATAAATAAATATTTGAAAAAATAAAATAATTTCCTTATTAAAAATATATATTAATTGTTATCTAGATATACCACACTAATAAAGTATGATGGCTTATAGTATAGTTGGTTTATCGAAAATAAATAAGTACATTTAAACTAGACTGTGCAACATTCTTATATAGATGTTTTGATTTTTAATCAATATTAGAGGTATTGTATTTAATGTATTGTTTTTAATTTCGATGCGACGTTGATAAAATATTAATTTTACTATGATGTGTTTTTTTCTTTGTTTTTCTAAGCTTAATTTTTTTGTTCTTTTAATTTTAAAAAAATATGTGTGAAATTTAAAGTAGCATACGTTCCCATTATTATCTAGATATAATGCGCTTTAAGTTTCCGTATTAGTAACATTTATGTCTTTTACACATGAGGTACGAAGTTCAAACCCGTCTGCGACAATGAATTTTTTTGCTTTTTTTTCTTAATTCTTTTTGAATCAGAAACAAATTTTTAATTAATTTGATTTTTATCTCATTTAAATTTAACAACTTCAATGAATATAACGAAAATCATCACTATATTCTCCCATCGTAAAAATATTTCTTATTTATAATAAAATGATTGTACTTTTTTTGTAGCTATCATTTATTTTCTCAGCTCTCACTTCATGTAGTTTTTTCAAAGATACATTAAATAGTCACAACTAGTGTCTAGTTAAAGATATCACCTTCCAAATTGAAAAATTTCCACTTTAACAATTAAAAAGTTATTTAACCAAGATTTTCCATTTAAACAATTAAATCATTCAATAAATGTTTTTTTATTGTCGTATTAGGTGTGATATTATAATAGGTTTCAACTAGAAAATCAGATATAAGTACTTTGTAATTTATTAATTTTTTAACTTTATTCGTGTGTGTTACTACCAGTCTATAATATTCCAAAATGTTTGGTTAACTGTCGTTATATAAATCTTTTCTAAAAAAAATTATTTTCAGTTTCACCTGAATTTAACAATGGAATTATACAATTATAATAAATTTAATAATGCACATAATTGAGTAGATTTTTTTTACAATCATTGAAACTAATTAACTTAGGGCTATATCAATGTAATTCTTTTTAAACTCCAAAAGTTAATTAGAAATGATTACCGTGATTTCAATTTAAGTGATCTATTACAATAAAACTGCAAACTGAATTTTGAATTTTTCTGAAAAATTTTTTAGCTTCGATGCGAAACTGAGAAGGTATTGGTTTTACTATGATGTGTTTTTTTTTTTTTT